ACTCCGTCTAGGCGGTTTTGAAAGCAATGATAGCTAAACGTCCAGCATGCATTAAGAAAAACTTTATTTTAACAAAGGGCCTTGTCATAGGTAGAAGGCTACGAGGTCTGTTCAGAAAGTAACGCGAATTTTGTGTTTTTTTAAAAATTATTTATTTATTCATGAATATCTATTTCGTCCCCTTCAAAGTAATCCCCACCAGAAATTATACACTTGTGCCAACGGTTTTTCCAATCGTCAAAGCATCATTCAAAAAATTATGGTAATTTTTTACATTAGTTGACATTGGAATTGAGACATGAAGTTTAGTCAGGTAGGTAGTACTCACCAAGTGAAGTAGTGTAGTAGTATTTACTAGAATTTTGTTTATTATTTGTTTAAAAATGAATGTGAGTGAGATACAGGCCCTTAAAGTTTTCTTAATCGGAGGAAATTCCGGTAGGTACGGCCCTGGCTTCAGCCTTCCGTCAGCTGTTCCCGCCAAACATCGTTTGTCCTAAAACATATCTTCCTAACATTATTCTAATGTATCAGCCCGCCTTCGGCGGGCAGGGGCATTAAACAAACTCGAGTCTGTCATACATCTACCTAACTAAACAATGACGTCATCAATGCATATTTGGCGAGAACAGCTGACGAAGGGCTGCAGCCAGGGCCGTACCAATCGAAATTTCCTCCGATTAAATAACTTTAGGAGCCTGTATCTCAAGCTACATTGGTTTCCGCACGGAATTAATGCTACCACACGATTCTACTTGGTCAGTACTACCTACCTGACTAAACTTCATGTCTCAATTCCAATGTCAACTAATGTAAAAAATTACCAAAATTATTTTTTGTTATCTCGTTCAGCTCCTCCTTCGATGCCGTGCTTATCTGCTCAATCGTAGCATAGCGTCGTCCTTTTATATGGGCCTCTTCAGTTTCGGGAAAAAGAAAAAGTAACATGGGGCCAGATCTGGGAAATACGGTGGCTGCGGCATTATTAGTGTGTTGTTTTTAGGATAAAAATTCGCACACATGCAACGATGTGTGAGTAGGGGCGCTGTCGTGGTGCAAAAGCCAATTTTTGTTCTTCCACAAATCCGGGAGTTTCTTGGGGATTGCTTCGCGCAAATTGCGCATAACTTGCAGGTAATGTTATTGACCGTTCTACCCTGTGGCAAGAACTCATGAAGCACAACGCCCCTGCAGTTGAAGAAAACTGTAAGCAAAACCTTTACATTCGACCTAACTTGACACGCTTTTTTCGGTCTTGGCTAATGCGAAATCTTCCATTGGAACGATTGAGCTTTGGTTTCCACGTAATAACCATAAACCCATGATTCGTCACCAGTTATGACAAGAAATTCGGGTAGTTTCTTAGCAATGCTAATGAGATGCTGGTTTTGGTCGAAATTGAGCAATTTTGGTACGAATTTCGCGGCGACCCGCCTCATGCCCAAATCATTGGTAAAAATCTAATGACAGGATCCAATCGATATGCTGAGGTCCTCAACAATTTCTCTAACGGTTATTCGAAGATTGGTTTTCTTCACTTCATCAATCTTTTCGTCTGTTGTTGACGTGCTCGGGCGTCCGGCACGCTCTTCGTCGTTCACATCTTCTCGGTACACTGAGAACATTTTGGCCCAAGGTAGTTTCACCGTATGCTACAGTCAATATTCTGAATGCGTCCGCACACTTAATTTTATTTTTCACACAAAATTTCATACAAATTCTTTGATCCACTTTTTGGAAAAGGCAAGATTTAAAGAAGAGCTAAAGCAGCTGTTAAACATTAGCTGAACATTCAACATGTCGGTATAAGTGAGAGACATGAGTACCAACATAACGCCACGAAAAATCCGCGGAAATTCAAAATTCGCAATACTTTTTGAATAGACCTCGTATGTTACCAATTTCTAAAAGATACATCACTCCAGAATTATTATGTACATAGCTTGTAGATATGTATTCATAAACATAGATTATATACCTTTTGGGAAAAGGTATCCAAATTAATATAAAGACGAAATTTAAAATAAAGGGAAATCCGATTGTAGACTAACTGAAGCACAGTTTTCCTAAACAGTTAGCAATTAATGTACTACTCCTTCGAGTTTATTCTATGTACTGCATCTTATCAAAGTATACACGATTAAGTATTATGAAGCTATCGAGTACTTGAGAAACAACAATGAAATGGAAACACAGCTGGACAATAATACTAGAGGCATCTGTAGTCCAAATACTATCTAAAAATTTCGAAATCCGGTAAAAACGCAGTTCAGGTCTTCTGTATAAGACAGTATTTTTAGGATCAAATTGTCTTCGTCTATGTGAATGTGTGAATTAGTTCATTTTACTAGTCCCCTACATTTGGCATGCACTACGAGCAATACACTATACTAATTATACATACTTTAATCCATTTGCTTGAAGTTATAACTAGGGTTGCCACTTTTTCAGACATTACATAAAGTATTTCTCGACTAAATGGTTCAAAAAAAGTACTCAGCATAAAAATAAAATAATTTAAGTTTTTGTTTAAAGAAAATATTTTTTGTTACACCTAGCAGCCAGTAACAAATTACTGTCGCTCTTAAATACATTAATAGCTTCTAAACATAGCAAACAAAGATTTAAGTAAACTAAAAGTTCATTTTTAATTAGTTTTAATGAAGCTTTATATCTGTCGTCCCGCCACTTTGTGTTCATAACAGAGAATACAATACTCTTTTTGTAAATGCTGAAGTGGCAGGAACGGACAGCAAAAGTGACACTACTTTGAACAGATTTGGGAAATCAGGTTGTTTCGTACTTAGAAACATTCTCAAAAATATTGTATTGTGCAATATTATTGATGTAAAAATACTCTGAATTTCGAATAATCGCTTACAAAATTGCGATGTTTACTTAAGGCCTTAAATAAAGTATAACGTACGTACAGTCGAAATAGAGTACAATACTTTATAATAAAGTACGGGTGCAACCCTAGTTATAACACACAATTTACAATGTCACTCGAGAAGAATATAACTGCTGACTATATTACAACCTGTGTAAATGTAAGGTAGACGATACAACACAACAACAATACTGCTTTCAGAAACGTTTTACCAATCCATATAAACTCTAAGCCATCTAAAGTGGCGGTTTATGGAATAATTAAAACTGCCAACAATAGACCACCTTTGCTCATGCCCATGTTTTGTTTCCCTAAAGCATCCCAGTGGCTACACTCAAATGTTATAAAGTTAGGAACTGAAAATGATAATATAGTTATCGAATTCATACAAACTATTAAAAGATTGTTCTCCTATTCACTACAGATTTAAGGTAATAACTACAGAAATGTACTCATTCATAACGTTCGGCTAACTCTTGTGGTGTCTTACTAGTTAGCTGTAGCAGTATTGGAAAATTCCAGATTTTTCATATTGACTTCGTCGGATACAAAGGGTAGCAGAAAGTACGAGTATATTCCTCCAGCTAATGAGAATTCTACTTTTTTCAAGTAGCATTAATCATCAATTTAATGGTCAATCCAATCCTCATACTGTTGTTGCCAAGAAACAGTAACGAGAAAGCGTTGTGAGATGCCGACACGACATTATTAAGTTTATATGCACGTTGGTATGCCATAAATTAACCGTACCAAGTAAAAAACAATAATTAACATTATTTATTTTTATACGAATTGAAAATGAAACATTGTTGATAAAACCTAACAGTCCAAAAGAGTTAGAAAATGCAACAAGTATAGCAAAACATTATTCTGGCAGTTTGTCGATTTTTTTTTGAAATAGGCACTTACAACTCAAGGAATAATCATCGTAGACAATATAATATTAATGTCTGAGTTGTGTTGTCGTACATGATTTGAAAGAAATTCTTTTTTTTTTTCTAAACTTTTAAAACTGTGTTATTTAAAACGCACGATTACAAGAAAAAGCGTACAACGAAGTTTTAAAATTTAAGATTAAAAAAGAAGAACATTAGCCATTTATAGATACTCATAAATTGTAACGTATACTTAGTACAACTGCATAATTGTTATGTTATGAGAAAATAATTATGTTGTCGCCGTAGTTTGACGACTTTTATGTATGGGCCACTTTTAGGAATTACTCAAATGTAATTTGTTGATATAAACTTCACTTGGTTTTATCTATTTATTAACAACACTTAACTAAGGATTAACAAACACAAACAAAACAAATTGATAACAAAAAACTGAACTTATGTAGAGAGTGGACTGTATAAAAATGGGAAATGAATGAAAATCGGAAACGAACCGAAAGAGCGAATGATTGAATAGACTGAAGGTCAAATTGCAACTGTCTGAAAGAATGACTGAGCTCCTGAAATTAGAAAAAATAGAAAAGTAGAGGAAATAGTTTAAGGGTGGAATTAATTTCAAATTGGAAAAGGTTGATTGGTTGGAGAAAAAGTAGAAGATCGTGATTTGTTATGAAATGAAGACAGGGATACAGAGGGGTTAAAAGATAGTGGGAGTACCTGAAGGGCATTAACCGGTACTTGGGGTACCGAAACACGTGCAACGCATCTTTAGAAATGTACCTTTTGCGTCGATTTCTGGGAAACATAACCCAAGCGAAAACCCAATTGAACTTTATTGGGGTGTTCGTGTTTGAATAAAATGAACTGAATATTATAATAGAAACTAGGCACAATGGTCAATAAAATCTGTTGAATTTCGATCGTCGGCAAGCTACAATTCCCAAATAACTGCAGTAAAATGTATCCATTTGAAAATACTATATGTCGAAAAATATACAAATACTAAAATGAATAATGCGACTCAACAAATTAAACTTTCCTTGATTTTTGATTGTGTAAAAGTTACTAAGGGTGGCAATTCAAATTAATCAAATTTAAATTTTGTGGATTTTCATTATTCCTAATAATAAATTGGCGACCCTAACACACTATGTCACAATGACACACTACTTATACATGAATACCTTGTTATATAAATTAAATCATGACTGACATTCGTTTAGTCAATCAGGAATCAAGTGGGAACATTTCAGTGCAATCAAAAATATTAGCAAAATCTGAAATCGAAAAGAATGTCCAAAAGGGTTCCTAGTATTCAGTTCAGATATATGATGAAGAACTTGGGTAAACCTTTAAATACTGGAAAATCGGGTGGTGCTTCATTGAGTAATTTGTCTGACTTGGATTTACCGCCATCGCATAGTAGAAAACCACCTTCTGATGATGAAATTGAAGCTATAAATTTAGGTATCGCGTACATTAAGAGAGAAAAATAATTGGTCATGATGGAAAGAATACAAAATTGAATAATGTGGAAAATTATTGTAATACAATTTGCACATTGTGTACAGATACATTTAGGTTAACCATGCATTTATTTGTGGAAATGGAATTAAAATAAGTGAAGTAAAGTCTTGAATAAAATGCCATCACTTTTATTTACTAGCTACTCAATTAAGTCAACGAATCATTATAAAAATATGGAAAGCAAATCAAATTCGCTTTTAATATATGACAAACAAGTTGGGTCTACGTAGCAGGCACGAATTTATGTGGAAATCCATACCGATTTTAAAGGTTTAGGACAAATTTGGCCTGGCGAAGAGACGCAGCAAGTCTTGAGCATCTTGACCATATCCATGTATAGATTCTAAGAAATGGAAATGTTTTCGATCTAATTTTGTTCACACACAAAGAATATCAAACAAGTATTAAATAAAATAGGATGTTTTTTAATGGATCCCCTCCGATAAAAACTCTGCTGCTGTTTAGGTTAGTCCATTATACGATATTATAATTTTTTGAAGTGAAACTTCTTTACGCACGGTAGGGTAAGTTCGTTTCATGCGAGTTGCTATGTAACAAAATTATGCAACGCATTTCCCCCGCTGTCTGTCCCTATGTATGCTTAGATCATTAAAACCACACAACGGATTTTAATGCGTTTTTTTTAATAGATAGAGTAATTCAGGAGGAAGGTTTATATGTATAATAAATGCATAATATAGTAGAGAAACACTGATAACTTTAGAGGTTTGTAATGTGATGTAAATAAACACATTTTTTGCGCTTACATTGCAAACGCTGGCTGAAAACCCTACGAGATAGATCAAAACAATATACTACAGTATTGTACACCTTAAAAAGGTCTACAAAAAAGTCCGTGATGGTATATGTCTATCTCTTAGGGATAACCCACAATAACTATTTTTTATCTTTTACTTTTTATGAGAAATAATGACACTTACGAAGCGATTTTAAGCAATACGGCATTAATGCTTATCCAAATATGTACTTTTAAATACATTGTGCATATAATATAGATCAATATGGTCCTTTACAGCATGTAATTTAAACGAATATTTTCGAAAATATTACAGACTTAAAATGCAGGGACATAGCGGTTGCGGCGGTACCGGCCGGTTTGTATTGTCTAATGACAAAAAAGCTGTGATTGTTGTATATAAAGACATTCTATAATTTATTTACTATCAGCATTGCATCCGTGCGAAACATAGTGTACAAATAATACCATTAAACCAATTCCTTAACCCCTATCCCGGTATGTTTATGTGTTTGAAGAAGTTTCACTTCAGTAGCGTGTTGTATAATTACACCTTGTATTTTTTTTTATCTCCTACACAGAATAACCAATTACGTATTGCATTACAGCTAACATATGAAGCAGTGACGGATTGTGGCGACAACACCCTGTAGTTGGATATGCAATAGATAGACAGCAATAAATTTCCTCATTGCAACAAAAATAAGCGTATCGTGATTGCCGTTACCATGCAACCGAAGATAATCTAAATGGAAAACGTTCACCTTTTATCAATCAAGATTAATTTAGAGCATTTGGCGTTACTACTAACTCACCGTTCGTTCGATTCGGTCCGTGTTGCATCACGTACGATATAGCAGACGCCTCTTTGAACGGCAGCAAACAACAAAAAGAGAGGAACGAATAAGGAGATGGAAGTGTGATGGCAGGTAGCAGTGGTGAAGGAGGATGAAGTAAGGTTGGGGAGGTGGTGGAGACAGAGGAAGGAATGAAAAACCTCAATCAAAAGGTGGATGTCGTGAACGAAAATCGTAACTCGTGATGCCGAGTGCAGATTCCGCGGCCTAAGTTCACGCATGAATGCCTAGGGACTTTTTTCAGCTTGGCGGGGCCCCATGGCGATGTGCCAAGCATATTAACTTACCTTCCATCCATTCCGCAACAATCATACTAAATTACCAATTGTACATTACTTTATTTTCCATCGCATCGTCATTACTGATTTTGGTTAGGTTGGGATGCTTTTAAAACAAGTGCACCCAGTGCAATTCAATGTTTTCTTTATTAATTTAAAGATATGAGTTATTATAAGGTATTACTTAAAAAAAACGCAATGGCTAAAATTGCTTTTCGATTTATATGTATGCATGCAGGAGTATTTCAATATTTTTTTTATTTACGGCAAATATAAGACTCGGGTAAAAAACCAAATAGGTACATACCTCGAGTTAAATATTATAAGCTCTAGAATAGTACATTTTTTGTAGTAGAATATGACAGGTTCGTGAAACTGACAATGTGGCCAAAATGAATTTCGAGAAGGTCGTGGTTAGGGACCTTTTAAGGGCCAATTTGATGCCAAGCTAAAAATGAGAAGCTCCATACACTATCAAACGTATTCCAAATCAGGACAACCTGAGGTGCACAATATGAATAAGAAAAAACATATGGATAAACATAAATTTAAAAAAAAGAAACAGGTGCAACCCAATTCACATGAAAGAAGTGAAACTTCTTTGGCGTTCTCTATACCTTTAAAACGAATAAGTAATGATTGGTGAAAGAAAGAGAGAGTACGAGAATTTTCAGGATTTATGTTTTCCAACATATTTTATCTTTAGTCCACCTCAGGAGTGTTACTTTAATACGTTTTTATGCAGTTCAATAACAAATAATTGGCCAAATTTTTTTCGGTCCCGTTTATTTTTCCAAGTGCTTAAGAAACCGTAAACTATCAATAACTCCAAGGAATTAGAATTAATATATAATAATACTCACTCTTAAATAAATATTAATTGTTGTCAAATAAGTATTTACAGCAATACACTTACTATAATATAACTGCACAGATATAACCAAAAAGTTAATTTAGCGCTATGGTATACTGAATATACATTGTACTATAATACTAACAGCTGACTGTAATACCGATATGCGCATGCGCGCCTTTCTATTCTGATGACCTACCACTTCGCGAGACAAAACGTTGCAAAACGTGTCGTTTCAATGCCTTGAGATTTTACTCTCATCAAGTCCAAAGAAGTTTCACTTCAATAATGACAATGTCGAGAGGAAATAGAACCTAGCCCACCCCTGTAACAGGCGAGTCCTTAATTTTTGATCTTGGCAAAATTTGGTCTAAAAGCCCCTTTTGCGGCATTTTCAAGATTCATTTCAGCCACTTTGCTGTACCAGCTTCAGAGGCGTGAACATACCAATAATAATAACCTTCATGGGGCCAACTCAATTCTATATAAAAACAACAAATAACTGAGTCTGCCACAACACATTACATTATTTTTCACAATAACTGTTCACATGAGATGTCATCAAAATTTTTGTATAAATAATGTTTTTAATCTTTGCATTATACACGCATGGCATTCTGATAGAATAGATGTGCGTGAGCTGTTAACAAAGGCTAATTTATAATATAAGATTGTAAAATGACCACCGTAACGAGATTAAAAGTTAATAGTTTTGCCGTAGCTATGGGAATAACAGCTACAAAGCTCCATCATTAAATACTGATCATTAGACACGCATCACGGGTTCGTCAGATGAAACATGGAAAATAACTTTGTTTATATTTCTGCTTTATGGAAAAAATACGCTTATGATGTTTACTCTATATTATATAACATGTGAGACAGTCTGAATTTTTTATTTGTATATACTTAATGGAGGGACAAAGGATTAGTTTGCTTAGATTTGCAGATGTTATAGCAGCATTAACATCTAGCAAGGAGGAGTTAGAGCTTGCTTAATACAGAGCCGGGCAAACTCGGATCTTTTGCATCCCGAGTGATCCTCAAGGTTAACCAAGTAGCTCCTCATTGATCCTGCGTGTGCGAATGAGATGATACTTTCCTTTTCTTATCCCTTCCATTTCGTAGATGAGTCCCCTCTTCCATGGCCAAACCCAATAGTTTTGCGAACGTAGTAACCAAAATTTTCGTAGATATTATTTTAGTTGCGAGAGTGGCTTCGCTCGTCTACGGGATGAAGGGGCTTGATATGGGAGTGGAAGGGAGAAGAAAAAGACAAAACAAAATTATTCATTACTGCTTACTCTCTCGTACTCATTGAAGGGTATGGAGTGACTCAAACTAACCTCATGTAGCGGCTCCTGCGAAGTAAAAGTTTGCCCGGCTCTGGCTTAATATATAATGGAACCAGTATTTACAAAAGAGTATTGTATAAAAATAAATAAAAGTAAAACAAAAATGCTGGTATGCAAGGGAAGAAAAAATAGGGAAAGAGCGAATATAATGATATGAGACGAAAAATTAGAAGAAGTGACTGATTTTTGATATCTAGGAAGTCAGATAAGTCAAGACGGAAGGAATAGTAGGGATGAAAAGCAGAGGTAGCGCAAGGTAGAGTCGCCTTCAATAAGAAGAAGTCTCCTCTATGATCCCGAACGGTTAATTTAGAAATTCGAAAAAGATTGTTAATGACTAATGTTTGGAGCGTGGCGCTGTACTGGTGCGGAACATGAACGGAATGTGGTGTTAACGGCGAATGATGAGGATACCGTGGATGGAAATGAAAAGATATTAGAAAGAAGATAGGTTGGTAGAACACCTTCTCAGCCATGAAGGTCTAGTCAGAGACATATTAGAGGCAGAAACAGGAAAGGATAAAAGATAGATTAGATTACTGTTCGCAAATAGTTAAGGATGTGGGTTGTCCTAGTTTTAGGAAAATGAGAAGATTAGTTCAGGATAGGAAAGATTGGAGATGCGTGAGCAACCAATCTTAATAAACACCTATAGTTTAATAAAATAATTATGAACTACTATATGCTTAATATGTGCTATCACATGCCATATTAAAAGAAAATTATTCGAAGAATGCAATTGTTATAAGGAGAGGTTCTTTTACACGCCTTTATTAGCTTCATTTGTATAATTTCAACCACTTGCAAAACGTTTTATTAATTTTAAAACTCGCACATGTATTGATGACCAATGATAATACAAAACATTTTGATCCTGTTGTTTGTACTATAACGCACCCGGGATGTAGTACGGAGATTGACAAATGTGTATGTTTGAGAATTTTAAAAACATTTTTTATTTTGTACTTACCTCTGCTTTGATTAGAAAAAAAAATACAACGTGTAAATATATAACACACTAATACTGAAGTAAAACTTCTTCAAACACACAAACATACCGGGATAGGGGTTAAGAATTAATGGTATTATTTGTACACTATGAATTTAAATTTTACACTATACATGCCGGAGTTGCCTGTAACGAACGTTGCATTGAAGAAGCGATNTATACAACACGCTACTGAAGTAAAACTTCTTCAAACACACAAACATACCGGGATAGGGGTTAAGAATTAATGGTATTATTTGTACACTATGAATTTAAATTTTACACTATACATGCCGGAGTTGCCTGTAACGAACGTTGCATTGAAGAAGCGATCCCCACTGCAAAACATCCGTTGCATGACTTCGTTACATAGCAACTCGCATGAAACGAACTTACTCTACCGTGCGTAAAGAAGTTTCACTTCAAAAAATTATAATATCGTATAATGGATTAACCTAAACAGCAACAGAGTTTTTATCGGAGGGTATCCATTAAAAGATATCCTATTTTATTTAATGATGTTTTTTTTTTTTGATGTTTCATTCCCACTAGCCACTAATACTGGTGGGTGAGCAGTCGCTTCGATAAACGAAATGAAGACAGAAAAGAACGAAAGATTATCTGTGGAATATTACTGCCCCGGTATCTACCTAAGTGATTTAAGGAAACAACAGAAAAACTTGAACCAAGGTACAGGCCTGACGCTGGAAGCTGGCGGAAATTTTAAAATCGCGTGTATGCGCGGTGGCAAAAGTAGGTAGTTTTAGGTATAAAGATTGCAGCCCTCATTCTTCAGTATTGCTATCAGAGGCGTAAATTAAATATTTAAAAATAAGGATCAGTGAGCAAGTAATAGACATACAAACAGAAGAACTAATTGTTGATGTTGGTGACAGTGATAGAGATTCCCATGATGACAGTGAATGTGAAAACTAACTATAAAACAAAAGCAATAGGTTAATTTTTTCTTTTTGATAAGTCATGTTTTTACATTATTTTCTAGTACGCTACTGTCCTATCTGTATTAATACTATAATTTACGCCTACTGAAAGCTTATTTGTGTATCGGTTCCAAGTGACTTACCCAAATAGGTCATAAATGGGCAAGTACCTGCGCGACCGCTCGTCAACTTCCTTCGTCAGACCTGTAGACGGATCCGGAATCGAACTGGTCTCCTTCTAAATGCTACTGTTTTGATTTTACACAGAAGTCTAATGGTGTTATGTGCGCTGGCTTTAGCGATTTATTCAAAAACGAAAATCTATATTTTGTAGTGGATTGCCCTCCTTCCACTATAAGTAATAGTTTTTTTACTTGTGTTGTAAATCAATTGCTGATGAGTACAGATACCGTAATAGAAACAGCAAGTAATTATTTTCTCATATCGTAAAATTGACTGTAACTCATTCGATTAATTGCTATTAATTACTCTGTAAGAATGTGAAACGTGGACGGTGGCACAGCGGAACAGAATAGGCTAGAAGCGCTCGAAATCACAGGTGAATGATAAGGATACCATGGATAAGTAGGTTTTAATTGAGGAGGTATTAGAAAGATTAAGAGGGAGCTAGTTGGTAGGACACCTTGTCAATTATGAACGACTAGTTAGAGACATATCAGAAGCAGAAACAGGAGTTATGATGAGTAGAGATAGACGTAGATTAGATTGCTGTTCACAAATAGTTAAAGATGTGGGATGTTCTAGTTTTAGATATGCGAAAATTAGCTCAAGATAGTCGACATGATTGCGAATTTTACAAGAAAGAAGAATTGTCTTTTCCGTCCGTAAAAAATTGTTTTTTTCTTCTTTTATTCATGATAGAACAAACTGAGTACATTACAGTGCAATTATTGTGATTTTGATAAAACACCATGACGGAGCTCAGAAAATGGTCCATAAAGATAAAAACCGTAGCACATTATTCTGTTTGTATTGGTAGGGCTAACATTATGGACATTAAGTTTATACCAGAAATGTTAAAAAATCGAATTCCAAGTAGTTCCTTAAAACGTTGTGGCCATCCGTTAGTGCCACAGCTTCGCCTACTCATAAGTAAATTTACCCACTCAAAATTTTAGAAAGGGCGGAGACCGTTGAAAGTCTGAAGACACCCATTTAATAAATATACAAATGTACAAAAAAAGTCTGTTTTGAATTGTTAAATAATTAATAAACAGATTAAATAATCAATTTATTTAAATACAAACTCAAGTATTCAAAATAATAACATTCATTAGCTCACTCTATACTCTAGGTAGAGAATTAGTATAGTAACTACGTTATGTGTGACATTTAATAAAGATATTGCCAACAACGAAAAAATTAAATTTTGTTTTTCATAAAAATTGAAAAATCCGGGGATTATGATTTAAATACT